AGGGTATGAAAGGATTTTCCAAAATTAACAATTTTCATGAAAATTTTGCGATGAATGATCAAAAAACAGCGAATATTCCAGTTCTGTAGCGTATGAACGTGGGCCGACGCGAGGTTGCACGGCGCATAAGTGGCGAACCTCTACCCGAGTGCGCGACCAAAACCGTCCTCACGCGTTTTCTATTCGTCACACAAAAAAGGTTTTGGTATCGTTTTGAAGGTCAAAAAATCTTCTATCCACCTCAAGAAAATGAAGGGCTCTAATTGCGCCCAGAAACGAAAAATCAATGGCTGTTAAGATGATCGAAATTGAAAAATTCACGTATTTTTTCATAATATGGCAAATTATTTAAAGGTAAATGTAAAAATGCACATTATTTGAAAAGGTCTTTATAGTAGCTTTCAAACGAGACCAAAAGTTTGAAAATCGAACGAACGGTTGGAGAGATACAGCGCCTTTTACACGTGTGAAGCGCGCCCGTGGCCATGAACGCGGGGTGGAAATCGCGCGCCGCGGCCGATCGCGCGATACTTAAATGGCTCTCGCGGGCTAACTACTCGTAGCACAAAAATGGTTTTGGTATCAAATTAAACGCGAGATCAAGACCCATCTCTTTTACTGAAGAGAAAATATCAATTTTCCTGCTCAGTTAAAAGTTATTTTGCTTTGAAATTTTAGGAATTTTCAAGGAAAAAAATTTTTGTAACATTTTGGACAAATTGTTGGCCAAATTGACTTTGTTATAATTTATTCATATTCTAGGCCCTTTTAACTCTCCGTTAAAAAAAAGAAAATCAAAATCGGACAATTAGCAACAGAGATATAGCACTTCAAAAAAGCGCTTGGCCGCCATCTTGGATCCTGCACGGATTTGAAAGTGGTTCTACGGACAAAAACTTTTATTTTTTCATCTAGTATGACCTCCCGAAGTGGCAATTTCCAATCAAAAAATCGTCGATTTTGATCGTACCCACCGTACTAATATCCGAGGCTCGGACTCCGATGCTCACGAAGCTTCGCTTATCGGCACCGGCCCGGCTGTGGGGATCCCCCTCGTAGGGATCACCAGGGCTCTTACGGGAGTGTCGGCTGGGCCCCCCGGTCTAGAGCTGCCGCTTATGGGATGATGGCGGTGGGCGGGGCCTTGTATACCAAGTGACGTCACAGCCAATGGAAATCTTTTATTTCTTACTGCGATTTTGCGACTTTTTATCGAGCTGTTACGAAGCTTTCGACTCCATTTCGGAACTTGCAAATGCGAAAATCGGTTTTTTCGCGAAAAGTTCTGCTTGAATCAGTCATTAAATCTAAAATGCCAGCTGCATGCAACTACCCCACTAAAAGTTTGCGGAAAATTACAATTTTTTCTTTCTTTTTGAGGGAATTTAATTAGGAAGAAGGTTTTATAAAATTCCGACACCTTCTCGTTGGCTGGCTTTAACTAACTTTAAAAAGTTTCCGTTTTTCTTTTGCCGTAGCCGATTTTGGCGCTTCTTGCCTTCCCGTTCTTGATGTCTCGCCCAGGGCCGCTGGAGTCCGAGTGGGTCCTTCGGGGCTTTGTAACGAGACCATCCAGGGTGAGGAATTGGGCTCGTTCTTCGTCCTGAAGGTGTTCGTCCTGTTCATTTGGATTGGTTGTTGTCGTGCCTGGGTTGCTCTTTTCGGCTGAAAACAGGGGGAGAACGGGCAATTCAGGCATGTTGGGCTGTTCTAGTCCCTCGGGGAGGCTTCGCTGTTGATGTTCCCTTTCGAGGAGCGTTTTTGTTGCTGCGACTTTCTGAGCGAAGTCTGGGAATCGCGCACGATACTGAGTTAATGAGATAGGACTCATGTTGAGACTGGGAGATTGGAGAACTGATTTCGATGGATGTCGATGCATTACTGATAATTGGACTCGACTACTGATCCGTTTCAGAGGATTCAGGGGAAAACTGTATCCCTTCAGGGGAAATCAGCGAAATGTAAGAGCGTTGTTGCCGAAGTGAAGGTGCAGAGACGTTCCTGAAATTTTCAACTAATTATGACGTTCGTGGTATCCATTTTTTAAGTCGTTAGGCTGGAACAATTTCGTACTTCTCCTTTCCACGTTTGTTAGTCTTTATGCGGAAAAGGTCGTGTGGTAAGGCCTCCACAATCCGAAACGGTCCCTGAAATTTGATGCGGAGTTTCTCTGAAAGCTTTTTGTCCCTGGAGGGTATGTGGAGTAAAATTTCGTCGCCAACGGAAAATGGCGGCCGAATTTTATGCCTGCTGTGTGTCTGGCGCTGTTGTTGTTGAATTGACGGGTATTTGTCTAAAACTTCTTGGCGAATTGCATCTAATTTCTTCAGTCTATCAAGAACTGTGACATCTTCGCGGCGAGGGCGTAAAGCTGCATCCAATGGCAACTGGAATTCTTGGCCTGTCATGAAAAAGTAAGGGGTTTCGCTCGTAGATTTGTGGATAGACGAATTGATACTAGCCATGACTCCAGGGAGGATTTGCGGCCAATCAAATCAATTTGTGCTCGCATGGCATCGCATAATATTACCAACGGTGGACCAAATTCTCTCAATAGCGCTGTTCATCCGTGCTGCATTGGGAAGGGATTGTGATTTTTTGACCCCGAGTTGCTTAAGGGTTTCTGAAACGTAGGATGACGCAAACCCAGGACCATTGTCCATGACAAGTTCAGTCGGGCATCCGAAAAGTGAAAATGCTTCCATAAAAAATGCAGCAATGGTCGGGCTGGTAACGTCTTTGACGGCTTTTAAGTAAACAAAACGTGTGTTGTAACATATAATTCCGAGCACATGTCGAACTGTTGATCCATTAGCAGTCTTTGCCGGTGGAGGAGGTCCAAGGGCGTCAGTGGACAATTTAGTGAAAATGGTGCCTGGAATTGAATGGGACCCAATATGACCATATTTCTCGTGATCTTGCAACTTTTTGGCGAATTGACAGTCTGGACAAGAGAGGACATAATTCTTTATGATTCTTGTCATATTTTTAAAATAAAATCTGCTTTTTGCTTTTTTGGTTGTTTTAAAGATGCCTTGATGTCCAGAGAAAGGGTCATCATGAATCTGGCAAAAAATTAATGAGACCAAATGTGAGGGAACGGCTTATATATTGTTATATTTATGATCTTTTTTGTAGAGGGTATTATTCTTCTAATAGAAACTGGTAGCCATTTTGCGTGTTGATTTTATGCATGTTTTGGGTCGTTCTAATGCATCGATGATGGTTTAAAGGTCCTCATCTTTTCGCTGTTCTGTTGCCATATCTAAGGAGGTAAGATCTAGTGATGCATCGGGGGTTTCTCCATTTTTTAATGTTGCGCTTCCAACTACATGCATATTATCCGAGGGTATCTCCTGTAGGTCGGCTGGATATTTTGAACCTAAAATATCTTGCTTCTAACTTTTCACCAAATGCACCTTAATATGTAGGCCAAAAATCAATTTTGCCTCAAAAAAATCTTCAATGGCCCCTAAAAATCGAGCTTGATGGGCCACGTGGCTCCTGAAGCTCATAGGTGAATTTCGAACACTGTTATTCAGCCAAAACTTGTTGACCATTGCAGGGATGCAGGGGGCTGCTTATTGAAATTGATAGACAAAGAAGACAAAGAGAAAAAGAGCGATCCTATTGGTGGAAATTGACAGGCAAAACTATAGACAAAAAAGACAAAGGGAAAATTGAGCGATCCTATTGGTTGGAATGAGTGGTTCTTACAGCCTAACGGAAAAATGATGGACTAACTCTACAGTCAGTTGGACCATAGTTAGACCCTATGGTTTCTTGTGGGTCGCCGTCAGTTAGTCTACTAGGTACTCACTTTCTTTAGCTATAGCAACCAGCCGATTCCCATTAATATGATAATATATATCTTTATTTGTTTTTTGGCTTGCACATGGCTTCTACAAATGCGTCGAATTTTTCTAAACAAGAAACAAGAATAAATATATGTATATATATAAAAAAAAAAATAAAAAAAAAAAAAAAAAAAAAAAAAAAAAAAAAAGACAATGATATCAACCTGTCCCCTTTAAAAAATCGTTGATTGAATAGGGACATTCCTCAATTAGATAATGTCTGACCAAGGCATTGTGGCTTCGGGGCTCATCTTTAATTTTTTTTCCTTATGTTTGGTGGTAATTTACAGAAAAAGTTATGGCCTCGAGCCGCTGTTTTATTAATTTTTATGATTAGACTTTCTGTTCTGTTTCTGGTGTTGTGGTTGTGCACCACTCTCGATTCCTGTAGTTTCTTATTGTTGTATAATTTCAAAGATGAGTATATGATCATTGCTGGAACAGTTAAGATTTGTAATTTTTTAAAATGTTCCTTGCAAGATTCTGTAGGCTTTAATTTAAGCATAGTTCTGATAGCTTTTTTTGGAGTTATGAATAATTTCTCGATCTTTTTATTATTGCAAGTTGACCAGGCATTGATACAATATAATATGTGAGATAGGAAAAGAGAATGATATACTACCATTAACAGATTCATGTCGCAAAATCTTGATAGGACTCTCAACACAAAAATAGCAATGATGGCTTGGCACAAATGATGGCAACAAATGGCACAAATGATGGCTTCGTAAACTCCCTGTTTTTTTTCTATCAATTTTAGTCATATCTCTGCTGCACTTTAAATAGGTGCTGTTTAATATCTATTTACTTATTCTGCTGTATACTCAATGGTGGTCCATCAAGATATAGTTGGGCCAAGTAAATCACAACCAATACTGTTATGAAATGTATTCCTTTTATTCTTTACTTAGCAGCACTTTAAGTACAACTTGAAATGAAAGTTGTACACCTACTTTATAGACATGTCTAGTATTTTTGTTATTAAATCTACAATTTGTATTTCAAGTTTGGGTAAAAAAAAAATGAGTACTTTTCACTATGTTACCCTGCAAACTGTCAAGTGTTTAAATTTGATGTCGCGATTGTCTAGATAGCTCTTGATTTAGTTTTCTTTGCATGTGAGTATTTTTCATATGATTTCAGACACTGTACAAAAAACCTGGACCTCCCACTCCCAGTAAACATGGTGGCCGATTATCACATGTAAGTCATAATATCATTATAATTAAGGCCATGGCACGAACAACCACCCATAGGGGAAAACGTTGTTGTGAGAAAATCGTATTTGAAGTTTTGATTATGAGATATGTTGCTGAGTTTGCGCAGTTGAAAAACTGCAAACACATTTTTTGTAATTGGTTGTACCATTTGAATAATCCGCTATGCGTTTTAGGAAAATATTTCTGTTCTCACTTTTAAATTCTTGATTTAAAACATGTTGTTACAGGTGGTTCTTCCCCCCAACACCTAGTTTTAAGGTAAAATGGCTGATTAATTGTTTGAAAAATACAATGAGTGTTTTGCGACGGTCCTTTAATGTCATGTAACGGAAAATGACCGGCCCTCTAACGTTGATGAAGCGCAAAATTGCATGAATGGGCAGAAAAACATCGATATGTGCATGGGTACGCATTTATAGGTGGTTATTCTACCCAACGCCAAGTCTCAAGAAAAAATAACCATCAAATTGATTGAAAACATAAATAAATGCTTTGTAAATGTCATATAACTTGAAGTGATGTAAATAGGCTGAAAAACACTGGTACTTCTATAGGTGGTTATTCCATCCTTCCGCCAGTCGCTCTGACTTCACTGCACTTAAAGTGTAAATTTTATCGGAGTAATCAAGGGATCAACTTGCCATCACTACCAGGGATACACAAATATACAAAGATTAGAACGGACCGATAGAGGAATAACCTCCTATACGCGCAAAGGTGGTTATTCGTGCTGTGGCCTCAATTTGTGTGGAAATCAAATCTTTTAAACAGTAAGACCTTACTGAGATATTTTGCTCAAATCAGGGGTGCACCATCTTCTATGTCTTCCACAATTTCCCGCGAAAATTTTACCCCTTCTACAAAAAAATTGAATATGTGCTTACACAATTCTATGACCCCTTTCATATTCTTGTGGAAGGGGTCATTACTTCTGTGTTGATTTTATTTTTTGGAATACATTAAGATCCTTTTTAGCATTTGTAACGCTTTTTTAACATAAGTACCTACCCTTAAACATGTGAAAACAGATTGCCGTAATGTTCTCCTTAATCCCTCCCCCCTCCCCCTCTAATGCGTTACGTAATGTAAAGGAAAATACAATAATGTATATACCAGGTGTCCGTTAAGTAACTGAAAAGTGGGTATAATTTTTGAACAAAAAAAGATAAAAGGTCGTGGTTTGTGGCATTCTTCATTATCCAAAAAGGGAAATATTTCGATGGGGGTTTTTCTTGGTGGACCCCCCGGGGGGTTCCAAGGGAGGCAACTTTAAAAATTCAAATAGCAACCCCCATTTTTTTAGACATGGTTAAAAAGAACTTCAAAAGACAAGAAAAATGGGGCAAATAAAATTAAAATCGGTTCTTTCGTTCAAAAGTTAGAGCCGGTGAAACTTTTAAATTGACCACTTTTCAAATAATTGCCATTAAGCTCCAAATTATCAAAAAAACCAAAACAAACCAGGAATGAAAGGTTTGAAAAGTGCTTTTTAGGAAAACGAAAAACAACTGACTTTTGTCACAAGTCTGGATGGCTTTGTTTCAAAATAAAATTTCGGAAAATTCAACGTGGCGGCAAATTTGAGGAAACGCGAAAAATAAAAATTCCAGAAATTGTTATCTTTTAAATATCATCTAGTCTAAGGAAATCAGAGGTATCAACTTTTATTCCTTTATTTGGCCAAGTAAGAGCAATAATTTGCTGACTTTAAAGTTGTCAAGCGGGGCACCTTCAATAGTTGGAGTATGCGACATCGCTTTTTCACATTGGCTTCATTTTTTGACAGCACACTTAATCCTGTAATGTTGCATACTCCCATGATTAAAGGCGCCCCGCTTGACAACTTTAAAGTCAGCAAATTAATGCTCTTACTTGGCCAAATAAAGGAATAAAAGTTGATACCTCTGATTTCCTTAAACTAGCTTTAGCTCATACTAGCTCAACTAAGCTCATAGCATTAGACAGAAATCTAATTTCCAAAAATTCAGACTTATCCGGAAATTAGCACAATCTGAAAATTGTGGGTAACCTGGCATCCTTCGTGATAAAAATTGTAGAAAGCCTTCCACAATTTTCAGTCAAAAATTATTACGGAAAGCCCTCTCACGGTGCGTCTGAACGAGTTTAAATTTTTTGATGAGTTACAAGCAAAAACTCTTTAGGTTCTCAAAGTAGAGTGTCTACTGAGTCACTAAAGCCAAAAAGAATAAAAATTCTGTAGAGCTCCTGGAAAATAAAGTCGATTTAAAGGTATTTTTGGGCTAAAATAGCCAAATTACCCATAGCAAGGCCCGTTATATTGTTTAAAAAAAAATTTCTTCCTGGATATAATGCCTAAGTTTCTTAAATATGCATACTTTAGGCTTCTGGAACGGCGAGGGCCTCAAAAAAAAAAAAAAAAAAAAAAAATAACAAAAATAAGGCACAAGCCGATGAAGAAGATTAGCTTAATTTCCGAGGGACCAGCCGGTTTAATTTTCGAGGTGGCCAGAAACCGGCAAAGACCATAACATCCAGATACGAAGAAATGATGAGAAAACTTGGAGAACGATTAATACTTTTGAATTTTAAATGAACAACACGTAAGCGTTTGCAGAGTGCAAAAACGCTCGCAACTAGCGTGAATTTAACATACGCTAGGGTGAAATATTGATTGGAGATGATTGTGATGACGGAGAGATCAAAATTTGGAATATTATATGAGAAACACGTAAGCGCTTGCAGAGTGCAAAAGCGCTCGCAACTAGCGTGAATTTAACATACGCTAGGATTAATTGGAATTGGAATATTAAATGAGGATATAGGGGTAGATGAATCTAATTGATGTAAGAAATAATTTTAATCATAGGCACCAGGGGGGATGCCCGCAACTAACGTGAATGTTAAGCTCACGCTAGGGAGATGACGAGAGAATTTGAAAGCTTAAGTATTCGGAATAGCCGCGAACACTCGCAACTGACGTGGTTGCAATCAATCGTCAGGATGATTTAATATTAGTGTCGGAGAGTGACGTTTCCGTGAATCTGAGATTGTCGGCAACGTCTTTCTCCGCCTTGCTATCGCGGCCCGAGCGCGCATGCGTTTGCGTCTGCGCACTCGCGGAGGCCGGCAGCCAGCGAGGCTGGTCTCGCGCTGGCGGAGCAGGAGCAGTCAGTCGGAGAAATGATCTAGCTGTGGCTCATGCCTGCGATCTTCCTTCACTCAATTTTCACAGCCAAAACCCTACCTCTCTCTTTGGTTTGTCATTGTCATCCGAATTTTAGCGAGTTGCTCTCTTCTGCCCTTGTTGGCTGCTTTCCTTCCTGATCAGGAGCTACGCATTCCGACGTTACGCTTTTTGCGGCAACGAAACGGAATCGCGGCAGCTCTAGACAGGGGGCCCAGCCAACACTCCCGTAGAGCCCTGGTGATCCCCACATTAGGAAAGAAGTGAAGCCATAAGTACATGGGATAGCCAACATGTACTCGCAACTAGCGTGAATTGCAGCGTACGCTAGGATGGAATATTAAATTAGGGAATTTAAAAAGTGAAAAGAATAGAAAAGAAGAAAAGAGATTTTTGAAGGAGAAGTCAAATTTGTATGAAAATATCCGTCGGATATTTACATACAAGTAGTTTAGCTTAAAAGAAATTATTGTTAGTATGGCATCACTTGGTAGCGTGTCGAGCTACGAAACTCATAAGTTATTCCACTTTTCAAGTGTACTGTGACTTGATCTCAAAGCTGCACCAATAGGGCTGGGGAGGACTGCCACTTTACTGGGTTGCAGAGCGAGAATGGAGCGAGAGGGTTGACGTGCACCAGTAATGTCAAAACAAGGTGCGTCTTCTTTGATGAAGCTCAGTGACCTTGGCCCAAGGGTTGAGCAGCCAGGAGTGATTGCAGCCTTCGATCTTCAAGCGGGCAAAAAGCCTACGCTACTAAGCCGGAACAGCGCCTCCTTGATCACTCGCAGTGTCCTTGATGCATGAGTAGAGCTGAGCACAATTCTTCATTCCATTTCCAAGATAAAGTCCAATTTGAGAGGGAGAGTCCAGTCCAGGTGTGTTCCAAAAGAGATCCTTCAAGTCCGAGCAGCAGAGATTCAAGTGAAGATAAGAGCGGATCCCTGGAGCATAAGCTGGGCGCGCAAGAGCCAAAAGGAACAAAGCTTCGAAATCGACCGATCCGGTGACGCGCCGCCCGGCGGAACGAATAACTGAAGTTTTTAATCTTGGATCTTGACTTTCTGCATTTTTAATGATTGTAATTGATAGCTTTCAACGAGTACTTTTCAGAAAATACAACAGTTTTGCATGAAATTGCGTGCGAAGAATAAGAAAAGCTCATCAAATGGTGACAATGGGTAGTTACCCGTGGAACTTCGGGTTCTTGAATATTGATATAAAGTGAATTCAGGCGTATATTGAAAGGTTTTATGATAGATTTAGGAAGAAGATAACTATTAGCAGTGATCAAAAGCAAAAAGAATGAAAGTGCCGTATTCTGCAGCCTGGTTTCATGATGGTGAGTGTTGGCTAGGCGGGAGGGGAAGTGATGCGGCCAGCGCGGCACGCTCCGCGCCCCGGCGTTGTCGAAGCTAGAATGATTTCATTGGCTCCTGGAATTTGTTGGGCGGGGCTCCGACCATGTAGTGAGGATCGGTGTTTGCGCGGGAAATTTAAAATTGGATCTTTTTCATTATTCGTTCCCGCTCGCGATTAATTTTCATGCGGGAAGTGGACGCTTACTTGAGATTAAAATGAAAGGTGAAGCTACACACACAGTAGCGCGCTTAATTATTGGGGCTCGCATAAAGGTGGAGACTGATTTATTTAATCCTGGATAATTTTGCTTTGTAACTTTTTAGCAGGAAAAACTCTGTTTTTCTCTGAGACATAATAATTTTCGCATTGGAAAAATGAATGCTGAAGTTCTACAGAAACTTGCATCCATACTTTAATGAGCGGGAAATTTCTGATGCGCTTTTTAAGTGAATGAG